TATTTGAAATTTTTTCTTCGCATTTGTTTGTTATTTTTTTAAATGAATGTATAACATCTCAAGAATACTGTGTCCAAATTTTAAATCGATCGGAACAAAATTGACTAAGTTATGAGCATTTGAACGACCGCTCCTCTAGACCGTTTTGTTTATACCTGCTCGTCAGTGGCCGGCAGCTGCGCGGCGCGTTCGATTGTTCTTGTATACGCTTGTCTGCTCCAGTTTGTATTCTTTTTTCTAATCCCTATATTTATTTTTTAGTAGAAGCATCTTTTCAGGTAGTAGTGTGTGTGTTCAAGGCTGGGTGTATACATCATTCGATCAGTGTACGCCGTTCCAAGCAGTAGTTTTAGTAATTTTTGTGCATTTTGTACTGTGTTTTTTGTTTGATTGTGCTACAAGTATACTTTTTTAATATTAAAAATGCCTCGAAAAGTTACCAGAGAAGATAGACAGAATTGTAACCTGTACTTGTGCCGACGAAAAAAAATAGTGCCGAGGATAAACTTCTGCACCGTTGTCTGGGTGGTTTCACCCAGAACAATAACGAAAGTTTGTACCAACTTATTTGGAAGATTTCTCCTAAGTCAGTCAATGGCACCTCTACGGTTGTTGAAATTGCAGCTAATATAGCTGCATGCACTTTTAATGAAGGTTCKTTTGCTTTATTGGCATTTATGCAAGAGATGCACATCGGAACAGGACCAAGTTCTCACGAATGAGTGCGACAAGTTGATGAGTTGCAAATTACAAGAGCAGAGTAGCAAACGTCGCACGACAGTTAAACAAAAAGAGTTTTGCGTAGACAAGGACAAAAAGATGCTTTGGACCTTCTCGATGAAAGCTTTTCACTCTATGGACCTGGCATTGATGACTGTGTGTGAGTATAACATAATTATCGAGATTTATTTGGTATTTGTTAGTGTGCAAAACTTTCAACCGTTTTTCTGAAACTTGTCATTTTTAAAGTCCGTGTTCAACCTCCCTCAAAATCTACTCAGCTGATGAAATTTTGCACAGTGCATCGTGATATGATTCCCCAGGTAACCCTGGGAGCTTTTTTTCTTTTTCTTTGGAAAATTGTCAATTTTCCAGTAACAAATTGACAAAATGACCGATTTTTGTTGGTGAAAATCGGTGTTTTCACTTCAAAGTGCTCAAAAAAAAACCAAAAAAAAAACTCCTCTCAGGGATACTTGGGAGAACAACCATTTAAACTAATGCATTTTGATTTTTTTTTTTTAGATGACTTTTCCGAGAGTTTCGTTGAACACCGCAATAGGTAGGGTCCCTACGTGCGACTAGACTTTTGCACCAACTAGTGGCAAGTATCCAAAACAGTTGGGATCATGTATTTAACGTAAACATAATACGTGATTTACTTGAAAATAATTATAAATAAAATATATTTAATTTTTCTTTTTTTCTTAATAATGCCAGCTTCGAGAAAAAATTGTTGTGTTCTTGGATGTAATAATACATCACGTCGAGAACGTGGATTCGGTGTGAAAGTGAAATTTTATAAATTTCCAGAGAGCGTGTTAGGAGCCTCATGGAAAATAGTAAAACGTAAACAGTGGATGAATGCAGTGAAAAATTACGTGTAAGTACAATATTAATTAAAATTGAAAAAAAAAAAAAAATCAACTGTAACATTCAGTAAATTTATTACATTTAAATGCGACGTATGTAAAAATTGATCATTTTGTTGATTGATTTGAAATTTCAAATATTTGTGGCATTTATCATCTTATAATTATGACTTAACCTTTTAATTCTTTTCTTTGATTTTAGAAAAAATCCAAAAGACTGGGTACCAAATAAATATACGAGGATTTGTAGTACCCATTTTATAAATAATGAAAAATCAGAGCATCCGTTACATCCATCTTATGTTCCTTCGATTTTTCCTGGTCGTGAAAATATAAAAAGAAACATTCAATCCTTAGAACGTTTCCAACGAGTTAGAAATCGTGAAAGAAATACAATCCACATCAATAAATGTATTGTAAGTGAAAAAAATAGAAATAACATAAACATTGAAAATACGATAGATACAGTAATGGAGCAAGGTGATGAAGAACATGCAAGTAGTGTTGAAGAACATCAGATTGATATTCATGTTGAAACTGTTACGATGAAGCCTGTGCAACGGAGCATAAGTTGTCAAACAGAGATAGTCACAGACGGAGTTTATGAAGATTTGACATATTTCTTTTGTAATCTCAACTATCATAACGATTTAAGCACGGCCGCAGTACAGGTAAATATTCCAATAAAAAAAACTCAAAGTAAAATTTGTGAAGCTAATATACCAATTGTAAAAAATGTTCAAGATTCGAATTGTGATCCAATAAATATAGATCTTAATAAATCTTGTCATGACAGTTCTAATGTTATTCATTTTTTCAACAACACCGTACACATGCTTCGATTTGAATAATTGTTTGCCTTTCTCATCGTTTTGGCCATGTATAATATTATTAACTAAAGGTTGAAATACATATTTTATTATTTTTTCCATTGTTATAACTTTTTTTTAATGTTATTAAATTTTTGTTTTGATTCCACTATGTTCACCAATGAAACACAAGAGAGCGCTCACTCCGACAGTAATGCTGCTTCTATATTTCACGCGCGATCCCTATAGGGACCCCCTATAGGGATTGGCCGCCATTTTGTTAACTCTCAATATTTTTGTATGAAAATTTTGGAAAATATAGTTCAAATTATATATTATTATATGTACTTTGAATAAATATATTTGCATTACCCATATTGCCAAAAAAAAAATTCGTAAAAAACATGCCTTTTTTTTCATCGAATTAACCTTACCCCCCCCCCTCCTTAAAAATAAACATCAATACTTCAAAATTTTTAATAAACTATGTAAATATGATAATAAAAATTAATTGTAACATAGATACCATAAACATTTGATATAATTTTAACTTTTTTAAGATTTATAATATTAATGCAAAGTTAATTTTCCTATACCATTTGTAAAAAGTCTTTATAAAAAAAAGAATACTCTTTTATTTTTAAAACATTTGCTACAAGTAATTTTTGTTTGGTCCACAAGTATGAAAAAAAAAAAAAAAAAAAAAAATAACATGTCCATTTATAATTACATCTGTGGGTGGAAATTATCATTTTTTTTATTCGATGGTATATACATTATATAATATGATAAACATATTAACGGTATGATTTTTGGTACCGTGCTCTTGCTCCCGGACCACCAAACTTTTTTGGTTCACACCTCCTTGGATCTGCTACCAGGAGAGTACGATCATATTGAATAAGGATATCTTTTATATCCTTTTTACTTGCTTCATCAACATCTACAAATACAATATAACAATTTTAATATATGTAATAGTAGAATAAATCAAAATAAATTATACTTAAATAATTAACGTATACTATTAATGTTACTTACATTTTTGATAATAAGCTACAAGAGCTTTGGAAATAGCTTGACGTATGGCATAAATTTGTGCTACGTGACCACCTCCATTGACTCGCACTCTGATATCTACACCAGCGAATTTCTCCTACGATGTTAAAAGATTAGTTAAAACAATAATAAAAACAAATCACATAGAACATTTATTTAATAATAATCTCAGGCTTCTTGAACTATATCATAGTTGTTCATATTCGGAATAATTGAACATCATTCAATATAAAGTTAACATTTTAGATAAATTCTAACCTATAATTAACTTTAATTTATAGTTAGTCCATCACACACAATATTTAATATTTAATAGATTGTTAATAGAAATAGAAATAAAATAATAACAATTAATTCTTTTATTTTTACCTTTCCAAGGAGAAGAATGGGTTCTTGCAATTTGTATTGCAAAACACGAGGTTCAACCAATTCCAATGGTCTTCCATTGACACGAAGAATTCCACGACCACGTTTGCAATATGCAACAGCAGTTGCACTTTTCTATTAATATAAAAAATAATTGTTTATTTATAAATAATAATTAATAACACAGGAAGGAGTGTAATCATGGTGGAGGTTAAGTTGTATTAAATCATGGCGCTCACCTTGCGGCCGAAAACTTGGACGGAATGAATCGGTTCCTTTTGTTTCTATATAGAAATAAAAACATAAAAACGTACACATTATATGATTTTTATTTAAAGGTAAATAAATATATCCTAAAATAATGTATTTACCTTCTGCATCTTGTTTGACACGTGCGCTTTCTTGCAAAAGAAATATTAGAAAGGAAGTAAATACGCTGATAGTAGTGGTAACGCGGTTCGAGAGTTACTACCTTAATCAAATGTACAAACACTTCCGGTTTGGGAAAATTCAAATACGATATTATTAAATTAGTCCATAATTTATCTAACAATTAATATAACCTAAAAATAATCTATAACAAATATTAAATTAATATCTTTTCATTATAATTCATAACTTAATATTGATAAATATATTATTCTTAATTCGTAATTTAAACAAAATAAAATATTTGCAATTATTATTATGTCGTTTGAAAAGAATAAAATCAAAAATTGTTTTTATTTTTTAACATATGTTTTATACAAGTACTGGCAAACCTGATAAAGAAAAAGAAAGAAAAAAAAAAAAAGAATTGTATGCATCATGCTGCTGCCTCTGTCGAAAGAAAGTGGAAATAATAAATTAATTCAGGGAGGTAAAAAGAGAACATGATGGCGGCCACAGTTGTACATAATATTAGTTGAATTCATTTTTTTTAAACGGGTGCCCGTCATTAAATGTTCGTCGAAAATTTAAATCTATTAATAGTGGGAAGTACGTGGTTACGTAGAGGACCATTTGTCCGTGAACAATGGCCACAAAAGAGTCTGGTGTTACCATCGACGATGGTATAGCAGAACCTGGTATAGAACCGGGTGCGTCTGCTGAAACAATGCTCGTTACAACAGATAGTTTTGAGGAATACGAGCAAGAAATGAGTAGCAGTATTGACGACAGACAAATGAAAGAAAGTACGATGAGTACTATATCCGAAATTCAGGACGACGTACAAGACATTCCAATAACACCTACAGATAAGAGTCCTCATGAATTAAAAAAAGATGAATCTTTAGATGAATCTGATGTGGTCAGTTGTTATAACAAAATTAATGAAGATTTAAATATTATATATTTTTCTTTTTTTCTTAATTAATTAACTATCACTAATAATACATATTCCTTCAGGACGACATTACTCATCGTTTAGGTCAAAGTAGTTTAGAAGCGGATCCATTACGTTGTAAAATTTGGTTATCGCAAAGGAAGCACGTATTTATATTGAGTCAAGCAGGAAAGCCGATATATTCTCGATACAGTTCAGAGGATAAATTAGTTACTTTAATGGGAGTTATGCAAGCTTTAGTATCCTTCGTTCAAGCTGGCAGTGATATGATTAGATCTGTACACGCCGGAGACACTAATTTTGTCTTCTTTGTTAAAGGACCATTAATATTAGTCGCTGTTTCTAAAACTTTGGAGAGTGTACCACAACTTACTTTGCAACTGACGTATGTCATTTTTATTTGTTTTACAAAAACAATGTCAGAACGAGTAGTCTCAGATATTTTGTTAATTTTATACAGTTGTAGGATTTAAAATTCAACCATTTTTAAAATATCGAAATCTTGGAAACGATTGAATATTTGCACTTACTCCTTGGGTACAATGTATTGTCTTAATAAATCCCTAGAATTGTATAAAGTTTTTAAAATATCTGAAGTATATGGGATCTGATATTGTTCTTGTTAGTTATTACATACTTTTGTTAAATACAATCTTAATTTTCTTTTTTATTTTTCTAGATATGTATATAATCAGATAGTTTCTGTTTTAACTCAATCTCAATTAACACGAGTATACGATTTACGAAGGAACTTTGATTTGCGAAGATTGTTAAGTGGCAGTGAAAGACTGATAGATCATTTATTAAATTTTATGGATAGAGAACCTGCTTTTTTTCTAGGAGCTATTAAATGTTTGCCTTTACTTCCCTCAATGAGGGCTTCTATAACACAAACTATTATACAAACTTGTGGAAAAATAAAGGTACAATTATTATCATCTTATATAAATTATATTAAATGTTAGAGAGTTGTTTCAAACAATCTTTAAAGAATATCTTTTCAACAAATTGCAAACTGTACGAGTATGTATCCATTGTACATGATGTTCATAAATAACATAACATTTTTCTATGATAAATCTAAACAATACTGTGTGCTTGAGACTTAAATGATTAAATATATATATATATATATTAAACATGATTTAACTGTAAATTACATTTTTCAGAATTTGGTCTTTGCGATACTTTTGGCAAACAATCAATTGGTCACATTAGTTAGAATGAATAAATTCTTTTTACATCCTGTTGATTTGCATTTAATACAAAACTTGGTTGATAGTTCGGAATCTCTTAAAACTTTTGAAATATGGACACCTATATGTTTGCCAAAATTTGATGCCAATGGTTATATGCATGGTCATGTTTCGTATCTGGCTGAAGATTGTCAAGCATGTTTGTTATTACTTACTGTCGATAGACATGTATTCTTTGTACTTTCGGAAGCTAAACAAGTAAGAACGCAATGTTTTAATATTAATTCTATTTTAATATGTAATATTTTTATAATAACAAATTTGTAAATTAGAAAATAGTGGAGAAGCTGAGAAGAACAAATTGTTTGGAAGCCATAAATGAATCTATGAATAAAGCACCTATTACGACTGCGGATATTGGCCTACCTGAAATGCGACATGTTTTATACAAATGTAAAAGTACAGCACAATTTTGGAGTCCTGGTCTTCAACCACCTTATACTACTGATGAAGAAATAGAACGGTAAAATAAATCTAAGTTGTTGACACGTTTAATGTCAAACCAGTGTCCCTGTGGATCAGTTTGACTTTTGCTTGAATAGAAAGCTTAATACAAAAGGCTTGATGTTTAACGTGTTAATTAAATATACAAAATTACAAGAATTTTTATTAAAATTCATATATAATTGATATTTTAGATTACTTGGGCAGTATCAATGTTTACATCACAGATTACACTCTCCTAGTCGACCACTTAAATTAATCTTTCAACAATTAGATAAAGAAACAATGTTAGCTTGGGTAAGTCGTATTAGAATTATATAAAAAAAAAAAAAAAAATGTATAAATATTAATTATTAATAAAAACGAATTTTTCTTCAGGTAACATCGGGTTTCGAAATTTACGTAACGTTTGAGCCTTTGGTTACAAAACCCGATGCAATCGATGCAGTGAGTAAATTATTAAAATGGATTAAAAAAGAAGAAGAAAGATTATTTATATTAAATTCACCTACTTTCTAATGAACTTATAAACATTAACATGAAATCTTAGTCTAAATTTAATCGAAATTACGTAATTTTCATTCAGCGTATATCATTTTTTTCGTTAATTGAAATTCTAATTAAACTTTTATCAGAAAATTTAGGAAAAATTTTGATCAGTTTAATTTAAAAAAAAAGAAAAAGTAAATATTATATGATTCATCTGAAATATAATAATGACAATCTGCAATTTTAAAGCCAGTAGTAGTTTTGGTCGTGCTTTTTAATATTGGAGTACACCACCAAAACCGCGTTTTGTTAAAAGTACCTGGAGATGCGCTGATACTTTGTCAAAGAAGTTGTATTATTTACAATTGTCTTTAATTATATATCGTGATAAATATTTTAATTGTTATAATATAAAATTAGAATTATATATATATATATATATATGACTATTGAGAAATATATGAATTTCTATGCAAATGTATATATATATATTCGATGATAAATAATTATAACAGAGATTGTATTTCTAGTTAGGCTAAGTAATTATTTTAATATCCATGTGTATATACATGTATATGTCAAAATGTACTTGTAAAAGAAAAAAAAAAAAAAGGAAAAGAAAAAAAGAACAGAAAGATAGAAAAGAAAAAAATGCAACATTGCATTTTCGATATGAAATTTCGTATGGAAATTTTTATACGAACGTTAACGAGGTCGCGTTGATACTTTAACAAATATGAATGCATCTGCGTTTTTTTTAAATGAGATATAAAAATTCTTTTTTCTTTTCTCCTCTTCTTTTTTCTTTTCTTTCTTTCTTTCTTCGAACAATGATTTGTACATAATTATTATATAAAAAAGTTACAACGTGTACTTGAAAATGTGAATCGTTTTATCTGGATGAAATATGTGATGTAAAAGTAAGCTACCATGTAGCAGCGTTTCTATGAAAAAAAAAAAAAAAGAAAAAAAAATACTTTAATATCATTAAAAATTGATGTTTGTAATTATTGTTATCGGGCAGAATCAAGAATATAGTAAAAAATATAACAGCTGTAAAAAGATGATTGATTTATTAATACGTATCTTAAAAATAATATTAATGTCAATTCTTTGTCACGTGTAGTTTCACAAACAACACACAATTTTTCAATGCCTAGTTCTATCGCGGTCTCTTCTTCTATCCCTTTCCCTTTCCCTTTCTCGTTCCCTATCTCTATCTCTATCCCTATCTCTGTCATCTCGCCTATGTCTATCCTTGTCCCTGTCTTTATCTTTGTGCGATGAGGAATGAGTCTTTGGTGATTTACTTCGTTTACGTTCTCTCCTATCTCTGTCCCTGTCTCTGCTACGGGATCTTTGCTTTTCTCTGTCAGATTTTTTGTCAGAACGAGAATGCCTCTTGTCTCTGTCTCTGTGACGTTCTCTATCCCTTTCATGATCCTCTGTTCTTTTGCGACTCTCTTCTTTGACAGGAGGTATATCTTCATCCTCTGATGTCTCCAATCCTTCATCCATGTCATCTTCCAATGCGGATACTTTTGCTTCTGCAAATTGAAATATACAATGATCGAATATCGTGAATACTTTATAATTAATGGATATAATAATAAGCATACCTAATTCATTATTTTCTTCTAAAACATGTCGCTTTTGAATCCTTGGTAAAATAACATCACACGATCTCTCTTCTCGTAGAAGCTCGTCGATGAATTCATCCATGTGTATTTGTTCAAAAAAACCTTGCTTATTTTGTTTCCTTAATTTTCTGTTGTCATTGAACAAAGGTTCTAAATATTTATAACAATCTAATGACGAACCTGTCAGTCGCATGTAAAGAGCACCTAATGCTCTAACGTATTTAAATTCTTCATTCTTTATAAACTCAACTATGATATCTTTCTCTGGCTGTATTTGTAACATTTTTAATATTAAACATAGGAATGGTGTTGGTTTGACATTTCCACCATAAACTCCGCCTATGAATCTAAATAAATAAGAAATATCAATTAAAATGTACATACAGACTGTTGAAAGTTGAGGGAGAGTTTTGAGGTTAAGTTGTTTACTTACTTTAATTCCATGGCTTTGTCGACAAGTAATTCTGCAGTTAAGGCAAAACATTCTTCCTTCCAATATTTCGAATCGTAAACTCGAGATCTTATTATTTTTTCAACTAAATATTGAGGATTAGTGCCACGAATTGATTTCGCGTCTTTCACCGTGCGGTTTGCCATATTCGATAGTTGAGCTATTCGTCACTGGCGGCACCACCTTCTGGCATGTCTATCAAACATTTCAGTCAATGAAATTATCTATGCGACAATTAATCAATGTTTTTTTTTTCTTCGATTAATCGAAAGAAAAGGATCGAGAGTCAATGACACGTAAAATCATTGACAAACATTATATTGACGTATATAGTTAAATTTTCAAAAATTTATTTAAAAATGTCGTTGAATATTCGTGAAAATAAATGAATCATATATCTTCGATATAAGATTTGAAACGTAGAAGAAGAAGAAAATCTAAGAATAAATGACTCACAAAGACGAATGTTAAAAGTCATTTTGAAAATAAAGTCAAAGAATAAAAATATTCATTGCGTAGTCGTTATTTTTCGCCCACGTGTAATTTTCCTCCTACTCTGCAAATTTTCGCAAAAGATATTTTTTTAAACAAGCATTCTCGTTTATATTCAAAGTGAATTGGAATGTACATTTTCTTCATCTTCTTCTTCTTTGTTTAGTTCGTCAGTTAGAACCGGTGATGCAACAGAGTGGTTTAGCAAAGAAGGCGGCAAGCAACAGTCGCCATCTTGAAAATTTGTAAGAAGATAAGGAGAGTGTCTTTCTTCTTACGTTCCTGTTAGTAGACGGACTTTCAGTTAGTCGTTGAGCGTTGAAAGGAGGTGGATTGTTATTGTGTTGAAGAGAAGGAGGTGCGGTTCTTTCATACGAAAGAAAGAAAGAAAGAGAGAGAGAGAGAGAGAGAAAGAGAATGTGTGTAAGAATCTTTTGCTAGAAAGCAGAATACTTGTGGTGTTTCTTAATTTCATGTTGTACAAATTTTCTTATTTATATGTGATTTTGAAAATAAGAAGGACATTTTATTGTTTCTTGTGCAGAAGTTAAGTCGTTGAACTCACCGATTTCAAGTGTCACAATAGAATCTAATAATTTTGTAGTTTTTCTTCAGTGACATTTATCAAGAAAAAGAAAAGAGATAATATTATATATATATATATATATATATACATATTTATTTATATATACATATATATATATATGATGAACTGAAATAGATTTTAACGTATGTTGTTTTCGGAGAAAGTAACGAATCATCGAAATGGGTTCCAAAATAGAGTACGTCGAGTCATCACATATGTACGCTACGAATTATATACGTAATTCTAAAGCTATTGGTGTATTATGGGGTATCTTCACCATATGCTACGCCATAATAGGTGTTGTTGCATTTGTAACACCGGAATGGCTTGGTGATTTAGAACACGAAAATCCTGGAAGATTTGGTCTTTGGACGAGATGTAGTTATGGAAATGGTAAGAAATATATATATATATATATATGTTATTTAATATAATATTACATTTATTAATATAAATAATATTTTGAAAAATTTTTAAAATAATTGTTTGTATTTATGTCAAAATTTATCAATGGTTCTCCAAATCATTGACTTGACTGTATAATAGATACATGGAATATTAATTTCTTTTTTAATTTATGCAATAAATTAATGCAATTTTTGATTATTTAGTTATAGAAACTTTAAGAAATATAATGTTAAATTTATTACATAAATAATTTTGTAGAATTTCAAAAAAAAAATCAAAATGTTTGATTCTATGTAAAAATTAGTCAATGGTTTTCAAAATTATTGATTTGACTGTATAATAGATACATGGAAAATTGATTTCTTTTTTTTTTTTTTAATTAATAAGTAATTGGTAATGCAATTTTGGATTATTTTAGTTATTGAAATTTTAAGAAATATAATGTTTAATTTATGAAATAAATAATTTTTTAGAATTTTAAAATTTTTTTTGTATCTAGGCAAAAATTAGTCAACGATTTTTGAAATCATTGACTCAACTGTATCGGGTAGATGCATCGGGGGATAAAAAAAGAAATTATTTTCTAATTACTAAACAAATACATTGATAATGTAATTTACGAAAATTTCAACTTTATAAATATTAAAAACAAAAAAGCATTATTAAATTCATAAAATAAACAATTTTCTAGAATTTCGAAAAGAAATTTTGTAATCTATGCCAAAATAAGTCAACGATACTTCAGTTTCTTTATTTTAAACTTTATAAACATTAAAAACAAAAAAAAAAACGTTATTAAATTCATAAAATAAACAATTTTCCAGAATTTCGAAAAAAAATTTGTATCTATTCAAAAATTAGTCAACGATTTTTCAAATCATTGACCGAACTGCATCGTAGATACATCCGAAGAAAAAAATTATTTTTTAAACATAAATGCAGTGAGTGGGGGGGGGGGGAGAGGTAACGTCATTGTTAAAATTTTCAATAGACTCACACGATGTAAAAATAATATCGCGAATTAATTGAAATAAATAATATAAAAAAAAAAAAAACATTCTTATTCCTAATTAAAAAAAGTCATTTTATTTATAGGTGAATTAGGAGAGGAATGCATAGGAAGATTAGACGATCTTTCGACCATAGCAAACGTCCCATTTAAAGCTAGTACTATATTAGTTGGAATTGCAGTTATCGTAGCATTGTTCTCGATTTGTGCAATGTTACTTTTCTTTTTTTGTCAAAGTACGACGGTATTTTATCTATGTGGTTGGATGCAAGTAATTTCAGGTAATACAAAAAATATACAATCTTCTTTTTTTTCCAAATTTTACAATTAGTACAGTACCATTAGAAAGTATTAGAGAAATATTCTTCTTCTACTACTATAGTTCACGAAAGAGAGAGAGAGAGAGGGTCTGAACATGAGAGTTAACAATTAGTGACGTAATCATTTTATATTTCTACCTCTTGTTAGATTTTATATAGAATTTTTAAAAGTCTTTTCACATATAGAATCCGGTTTCAAAACGTGCATCGGGTTTATAAGATAAGAACTCATATATATATATATATATATATAACATTCAAGTTGTATAGTTGCAGGAAATGTAGAATAGTCCGTTATAATGTATAAAAGGCCATAGTTGATATTTATGTAAATGTATGCATGTGTGTTTAACATATGTAGGTATACATATGTATGTGTGAGTGTGTTACATATATATGTACCGTTGGATACGCCTTCGACTATTAACATAAATAAACTTCTCGTTTAAGATCTCATTACTAATGGGGCAAACGTAGTATCTTCTTTTAACCTTTTAGATACTACGCGCCACTATATTGGCTTTCGCGGATGCCATCTTCCAATACGACGCGCCTTTATAGTGGCGTATAGGGAAACAGAACCTCGTAATATTCAGCCGTGCCTAAGAGGTTAAAATTGGTCGAATATGACACGCCACTATAGTGGCTTTCGCGGATACCATCTTCCAGTACGACACGTCATTATAATGGCATATAGGAAAATAGCTTTGCCCAATATTCAGTCGTGCCTAAGAGGTTACAATTGATCCAGTACGACACGCCACTATAATGGCTTTCACGGATAATATGTTTTAGTACGACGTGACACTATAGTGGCTTTCACGGATACCATCTTTCGATACGATGTGATACTATAATAGCTTTCGCGAATGTTGTACTATAGTACGACGTGCCACTATAGTGGCGTACAGAGAAACAGTCTCGCGCAATATTCAGAGGTTAAAATTGAACATTTTTTTTTTTATTATTTTCAATTTTTTTTATTTATTTTTTGTTCATCACGTGATACTTCTGCAATTGATTTATTTTTCAATAACAACGTTAATCAAAATCCCCCCCCCCCCCAAAACAATCAATTGAACGATTGTTAAAATTGATATTTTAATAAACAATTGATATTTTAAAATATGATATTTTGTTTAAATAAATAAAAAAAAAACAAATAGAGTGAAATAACACGATAAAAAGAAAGTTAATGGAAAGTATATAACTTTCACGAAAGTGTGAAAATTCAAATGAGATATATTCATGTTTGGTAATCGGATGCAATAACAGAACCCATCAATAAGAAACATCAGCAGTGAGATACTCACCTGGGTAACAAAGATTCACGTATTTTATTCTACCCATGTGTATATGTGCATGTGTATATGTGTGTGTTCTGTTCTGTTCTGTTCTGTTGGTGGTGAATGATGTTAGAATCTTTTACCGAGAATCGTTCGTTTCTGTAACTAGTTTCTTTCTCTCTCTCTTGGTGAAAGTTGCCATTTGAAATGCGAATAAAGTTGATGTGATGTAGAATGCGTTAAAGGAAAAAAAAAAGAAAACAAAAAAAAATCAAACTTTACTTTGTCTTTTGTCCTTTTTTTGAAGATTATCTAATGTTTTAATATTAAAATAAATTTTTGAATTTATTTAAGGGTGAATTATAAAATTAATACTTTTTTTTTTCATTTGCATGTATGAAGTAAAATTTTATTAATTCAAAAAATTGAAAAGAAAAATTGCATTATTATCCGAGGTAATGCAATAAAAGTACGAACATTTGGGGTACACCCTTTAATAATTTTTTTGTATTTTTCTCCCCTACCATAACCTATAATATTTGTATAATTTTATTATAATTCGTAGCAATATGTATGGCAATTGGTGTATGCGTTTATCCACTTGGTTGGGATTCCCCGGCTATTCGTGCCGTTTGTGGTGCATCTTCGTCAAGGTAAAATTATTTTTTATTTTATTTTATTTTTTTTTTTTTTTTCAATGAAAAAATTAATTTCACAAAAGAATAAGTTAGAGAGGATATTAAATTTGTATTTCGATTTTGTAGATATAATCCAGGAGCATGTGCTGTTAGATGGGCAATACCATTGGCTGCAATAGCTGCACTCGATGCAGTTACCTTGGCCGCTCTCGCTTTCATTCTTGCCTCAAGACACGTTAGATTACAACCGGAACCTTTTAACAATGGATCTTTGTACAAAGGTATGCAATATATATATATATATATATATATATATATATATATATATATATACAGTATCAATTTCGTTATAATAATGTTATCGTTAAAGTTTATAATTAGAGTTCATTCGTTAAACAATTTAATATTTTAGGAAAATAATATATAAAAAATAACCAACAGAAAAAAATATTAGAAATATATAACTATACCAATGTAACTATAACTATATAATTTAGTACATATATAATATTATATAATTATATTATTAATAATATATTTAATATTAAACATTAAAAATTAAATAATAATAATTATATTATATTATATATATTAAATTTAAATTATATATTAATCAACTATAAGAACATTATAACTATGTAACTATATCAATATAGCTATAACTATATAATTTAGTACATATATAATATTATATAATTATATTATTAATAATATATTTAATATTAAACATTAAAAATTAAATAATAATAATTATATTATATTATATATATTAAATTTAAATTATATATTAATCAACTATAAGAACATTATAACTATGTAACTATATCAATATAGCTATAACTATATAATTTAGTATATATAACAGTATATAATAATATGTAATATATAATTATTATGTATATTCCGCCTATACATATATATAATATATATAATATATAATAGTAATCTTTCTCTCTAATTATATTATATATATTAAATTATAATTATATATTAACCAACATAAGAACATTATAACTATATAACTATATCAATATAACTATAACTATATATAATTATATTAATAATATATTAAATTAATAATATAGTTAATAAAATTATAT